GGCCCACCTGCCTAGGGATAGCATCATGCACAGTGGCATGGGACAATTAGTAACTTAAGAAAACACCTCACAAACATGGCCACAGGCCACTCAGATCTGAGCAATTATTCAGCAGAGGTTTTTTGTTTGTTTGTTTGTTTTTTCCTTCCTAGCTGATGCTAGGCTTATGTTGACATCTGAAGCTAACTGTCAAACCCAGGCTTGGAGATAGTGAGTTACCTTGTGTATAGTCAGAGAGGAGGCTGGAATTTTGTCTATTTGACCTCAAAGCCTAGGATCCCTTTCATCATCTGGATGGGACCTTTGGTCACGTCCCTGATGGCCGAAAATCTCACATTCGACCCTTGTAAACGTCTATGCTGCCACTAAGTCAAATGGGAAAAAATTCAACTACTGGGGTGAGGGCTTTTACCCCGCTTTGGTCCATTGATCTCTTTCCAGCATGCTGTAATTAAACTAGGCTATGGTCTTTCTGGAACAGTTAGTGGGAAGATAGAGGAGGGGACACACATTAGTGGCTTTCAGAGTTTTCAGCTCAACTAATAGAAAAGAAAAAAATACAATTACATTAAACTTCATGACAACATGTGCTTACAGGAATTGTTGGCTCCGAGGCTCTGAGGAAATCATCCTGGGATCCTAAGTCAAAGACTGGGATCTTAACTAGGAGCATAGCCAACAGCCAATAACTATTTAAGCATCTGTGCTACATCATCTCAGAAACTTACTGTCCTTCTGAGAGAGAGAGACAGAGAGAGAGAGAGAGAGAGAGAGAGAGAGAGAGAGAGAGAATGTGAGATCACAGAGCCTTGAGGGCTATATGCTCTCATGAAACGTACATAAGGCACACATGCTTTCCCCAGGAAACATATGTGCTTTCTGAGGCAGAGTATCTCATTGGTCTAAAATGTGCCAAGTAGGTTAGGCCAGCTGGCCAGTGAGATCTACAGATCTGTGAGCTTTACCTCTTTAGGCCTTAGGTTTACAAGCAGGCACCATGGTGCTTAACTTTTTAAAGGCAGGTTTTGGGGACCAAACTTGGGACTTCATGTTTGTGTGGCAAACACTTTACTAATTAAGCTGCCTCCCCGTGCCCCATTTCTTAAGAAGACATGACTGGGTTGACAAGACGTCTCAGTCTGAACATCTGAGTCCAATCCCTAGAACCCACGTGGTGGAAGGACAGACCTGACTCCAAAAAGTTTTCCTCTGATGCTCACACACGCCATAGTGTGTGCACTCCTGCAAGAGTTTGTGCATACACATAAAAAATAAGTAAATAAATAAATGTAATTCAAAGACTAGGCAGGTGTGGTGATATGTGTTTGTGATGATGAAGACAAAGAGGAAGAAGACAAGGGAGGAAGAGGATATGGAAGACATAATGTGTAGGGGAAGCTGTAGCCACGCCTTCTTAGGGGCTGGCTACAGGGGTACCTGAGCAGGCTGGTGAGGGCGTGGTCAGAGGGAGTAGGGGGCTGCGTTTTCGGTTTCGGTTTCTCTTTTGCTTCTTGCTGTACAGACTACCACCGGCTGGCTGGTTCGCTCTGTAAGTAAGGCTTTTCCCTATTAAATACCCTTATATTTCTACCTGACTCCGTATTGGTAATTTCCTACTATAATAATGTGTCACCAATGATGTCTCGGTGAGGTTCTGATCTCTACAATATACGGAGAAAGGGATGATGTAAGCAGTGCACAAGCAAGAGATAGGTAAAGATCAGAAATCCTGATTCCAAGGTTGAGTTGTTCAGGTCCTGCTCTTGCCACTGAAGGAGTTGCATGACCTTGGGTAGGTCACCTATCTTTCCGAGCTTTCCAGTGCTCTAGCCATGAAATGGATGTCACAGTGGAATCTTCTGGTGTTGAAGATTAGGGTTGTATCTGATTAGAGGGAACATTCAGTGGACACTCACCTTTGTCCTTGCCACTAAGTAAGCATGAAACTAGGTAAGACAGAGAACAAAGTGCTGTCTGAGCTTGCTTCTGGACTGTCCATCAATGGGTGTTTTGTTTTTTCTTTATTTCTTTTTCCACTGAACTTTTTCAAATAGCTAGCACTTGTTATTCTTATATTTAGAAATTCTCTCTCTGTCTTTCTTTCTTGAGACAGGGTCTCATGTTGTATGTAGCCTTCCTGCTTCTGCTTCTCAGTTGCTAGGATTATAGATCCATGGCCAGCTAAAACATATCTCTTGAAAGTAATTTTAAAAGTCTTTGAGGGACAGTGAAATGGCTTGGTGGGTAAAAGCAATTGCCTTAAGCCTGATGACCTGAGTTTGAACCCTGGGTTCCACATCGTGAAAGGAGAGAACTGACTCCTGCAAGTTGTCTTCTGACCTCCACACAAACACTGTAGCAAGCTCATGCCCACATGTACATTAAATTAATAAATATGTATAATGAGAAATTAAAAAATATGAACAAAGTCTTTTCAGAGAAATTTCAATGCCCAGTAGGACCTCCACTATACATCTTCCAGATGACATATATATATATATATACATATATATATATATGTATACATATATATGTATACACACACACATACACACACACACACACACACACACACACACACACACATATATATATATATGTATATGTATTTGTTTTTTTGAGACAGGGTTCCAGGGTTTCTCTGTGTAGCTTTGGAGCCTATCCTGACACTCGCTCTGTAGACCAGGCTGGCCTCGAACTCACAGAGATCCGCCTGCCTCTGCCTCCTGAGTGCTGGGATTAAAGACGGTGCACCACCAATGCCTGGCTCCAGATGATATTTTTAAAAATTGTGTTTCATTGCCATATCATAATTGTGTTACAATATGGAGTACATGTGATATTTTTGATATATGGATCTGAAATTTAATATAGCTGACAAACATGTCCATCATTTAGTTTACTTGACATTTGGGGATGTATTTGAAACCTATCTTTTTGCTTATATTGAAATGTACACATTTTGGCCAATACAACCACTTCCTGAAGAGTCCAGTAGAGAGTCAACCCTGCTTTGCCTGCATCTTTCCAGCAGGCTCTCTCTTCTTCAGGGCACAGAGCTGCTTAAAGTCCAGTGACAGTGATGTTCACTGTGTGCACTGGTGGTCTCTCTCACCAGCTCCTGTTCCAAGCCATCTGCCCACAACACTGTTCCTCCAAACCAGCAGGTCATCCTCTTTTGAGGGATGTGAACCCCCTTGATCCAGTTACAAATATCACTTTGAGAAAAAAAAATCACACCCAAGCACACTTTTCAGTATCTAGTTTCCTACCCCAGGGTCTGCTCCGCTCTGTAGAGCTCATCTCCACTGGCTAATAGGTAGTCTGAAGCACAGTGGAGTGGCAAACTGAGATGCATAGACGCACAACAGGCACATGGATGACGTTGAGAAAAATGGACGTCTACAGATGTGGAATCGTAAGCCGGATAAATTGGTGGGTAATTACGGGCATTACATAGAAGGCTTTTGCTTTGCCAGATGATTTACATGGGGACATCTATAAATAGCAAGCCCATGCTGTGTGTTTGAGTCATGCTGCTGTTTTACTCAAAGACTAAGACCTTTCTAGAACACACCTATTGCAGGATGACAGGCCCAACTCCACGTTTAAAACATAAAGAAACACTTTCACTCTCCCTCTGAGTCATACCATCCACAGAATTCCAGATCACTCAGGAAGTGGCAGCTGGCCCTCAGCCTCTCTAGGACTGGTGGTCAATGGTTGACAAGAATGAGTCCCATCAAGTTGCAGGTAGAAGAGAGACATAAGAAACCTGCCTTGGTAAGGACCATCTAGTGTAGTGGATCCTGCTTCCCTAGCTCACACAGGGACAGGCTATCTCTATCAAGGCACTAGGATAGAGTTAGGCAATCCTACCTCTTCCTCAAATGGTCTTGTCTACCTTTCCAACTGGATTTTAGAGAAGTTGTCACTAGTGCCTAGATGAGTTAGCCAGGAATTAAATTGGTGCACAGATTTTGGTCTTAGACCACCACCTCTGATGGTTAACTATTGACACTGGAAATGGACTTTGCCAACATCATGGCCATCACTACTACCTTGAGTTGTGTGACACCATCCAAGGTTGCACAGCATGACCACAAGGGTCCACTTTTCCTTGCTCTGGTCTCAGTCAGCATCCCTTTGGGCATAGGCAGCACTCACCCCCCTCCCATGTGCCACCCAGGTACTCACAAAGACCCCTGCACAGCCAGGAGCCCCCGCCCCCACTTAGAGGAATCTATGAAACTAACTGCAACTCCATCTTACAAGGAGGTTTGCTTTCCCGGCGGGGTTGCCATTTGGCTCTACACAGTTAAGCAGCCACGCTTTACTTGGTTCTCTTCCAGTTTTTCCAAACATGTGCCTGGCACCCACGCAAATTTCAGAGGAAGTATAAATGTGACAGGAGACCTGCTGCCGGCTTGGTTTTGTGTATGCGTGTTAGTGTGACTCTTAAAAAGACAAGTGTTAAGTTCTACAGAGTAGCAACTTCTACGTGGGGAAAACTAACTTTCTTACAATCCTAGCTACTTCTCTTTGCCTAATACATTTCTTTAAACTCTTGGTATCTGAAGTTAGAAAGGCACCCTAGTAAGCGAAGAGTCCCTGAGACCCCAGGATGAGGCATACTTTGTGGGCTGAGTGCCCAAGCTTTCTAAAGAAATATCTCTAGGCTGTCTCAGTCTTTCTGCCCCCAGAAGCTACCAGTACCCACCCACACTGGGGCCACAAGCAGATTTAGGGCACACATCATCCTAACTCCCTCTCCTACCCGAGGAAGCCAACTGGGCACCGGGGTAAGGGTAAAGTGCCTGGGCTCCTAAGGCAAAGAGCTGCAAAGGTTTGTGTCTGGGCAGCTGGCTTAGCATGAGAAGCAGCAGGTCCTGCTGGTCCCAGATCACTGGGGATGTGTCCCAGCTTCCCTGACACGGGACCCCGAGGAAAGGTGACAGGGAGAAGGGACTAAGTGTTTCCCCAGGGCAGGCGCACCGTACCTTGGATTCCAGGCTGCTGGTGGACGCAGGAGAGGGCGGCTGCTCTGTGCCCGTTGCCTCCCTGGTCAGCCCGTCCCCGCTGTCCTCGCGGGCGCCACTCGGAGGGATCATCGTGGCCGCGGGAATGGTGTTGGGCTCCTGGGAGGAACCGCAGGCTTGCCTGCCTTTGCGCTC